TCTCACCTCCAATGCTGCTAGCATCTGACATTTATTGCAAATACCATTATCGCTAAAGGAGGCAGAGGAATAACTGAACATGCGACACTCAGAGAAGAGGGGGAAGCCATTGCTTTCAACTAAGCTACTAGCTAAAGCATGTTAAGCTACCAACTTAGCTAGTAGCTAGTATCTTAGGGGGAATCTATTGCTCTCAACTAAGTTACTAGCTTAGCAAGCTTCTAAGCTAGCTGACCTAAAGTAACAAGTTAAGTTGGGAAATTAGCATGAAATTCTGTAACATATGTGTTTAAGTAGTGCAGGCATATGTTGTGGCTCAAAAAAACTGTCTGATGTTCAGATAAACCTAGAAACTAGTGAGCTTAATCTGTAAACAATCTGGCAGCAAGCACAATGCGGTGCAGGCGCAGTAAACAGGAAGTGAATATGATTCCACAGGAAACCAACAAGTGTTGAAACCAGTGTTACTGGCCCCAAATAACCAAAAATAATCTGTTATTGCAGGTTCCATTAAGGCACCTGCCCAAAGGACACTTGTGTCACTGTGCTTCATTTTTATCCAATTGGCAATGGAGCCATTGTCCTTTTTGTGTAACAATAAAAATTAAACCATTTCCTTAGCCCCAGGTAAAGTTCTCTCACTGTGTGCCACCATGTGGGTCCTATGTTTTCTGATCAGACACCACCATGCAAGCCACCACCATACCTAACTTGATTTTGAGAATCACAAAAGAAGGAAAGTGTAAATTGCTGCAAGCAATTTTGTAATCATAGATTGTTTCTGAGCAATTGTTTTTCCTCGTCACTGTTTTCTGTTATGCTCTAATATTCAGTGTCATCTTTGCCTTTGGCAACAAACTAAAGCTTCATAGGGTTCCCTCAGGACCAATGCAATAATCAAGAATAGGAAAATGGGTTTACTGTTGCAATGCAAATCCTTTGAGTCTCAAAAGTTGATTGTGGAGGACAAGATGCAATGTAATCCCTACCATGGGAAAGAATGTGCTCAAACATCATTAAATCATTGCTGAGTGGATGTCTATAAACTGTATATAATTCACATATCTAATCAGCAAAACTGACTCGGTGTTGTATTGTGAAATCTCTTTAACTGTTACACTAGCAGCTGGTAATCAACACGGAGATTCAATTGTTCCAACCCAGGACAATACTGTTTAATTGCTCTATAAGTCCTTAGACAGCACAGTTTCACAACCAGTTTAATTACGCCATCTTTACTTGTCTGGAACTAGATCAACAAGAGCTGGACACAGTGTAGTTTTTAAAGCCGAGTAACAAACACTGTTATGCATTGTTTTTAAATTTTGTTTTTTCTTTTTCTTTTTTTGCCAATCTATAAAATGTTTATGAATTCCCTCTGAATAGAATCTTTGCTTACAGTTTTTTGCTAGATAGCCCATAAAAAGCACTTGTCGACAAAAGCTAAAACAAATCCAGACTCATGAAATTGTTTTGGGTGTGTGAGCAGCTCTGATCAGCGTGATGATGTTACAGAAAGGCAACCCAGGCACTGCTGAGATACATTTTTTCCTTACTGCAATCATCCATCCATCCATTTTATATACTGCTTACCCTGTAAAGGGTCAGGGAGGGGGCCACAGGGTGAGAGTTGGAGTTGCACACTGAACAGGTCGCTAATCTATTGCAGGGTGACACTCACAGACAGACAACGACAACATACATCTACAGGCAATTTAGAGTTGCCAGTCAATCTAACCTGCATAAGGACAAGGATAGTCACTTTTTTTGGCCAAGTATGTTACACACAAGGAATTTGTTTCCGGTACAGAACCGTCTTGTATTTGGACTCTGTAACCAGAGGAGACCCAACCAAACAAAAGGGGGGATGTCTGTGCAGATTGTTAGTCATCCAGGTCATAGTGAACTGAAAAACCTTAGAAAAAATCAGCTGGACTTAGATTTCTAGGGGGCGATCATGCAAACACAGAATGGCTCTGATCAGCTGCAAGGGTTGAACCTGGAACCTTATTGTTGTGCGGTGACAGTGTTAAGCACTTCACCACTGTGCCACCCTTACTGCAGTCAAATTATTTTCTTATTGCTTTTTTCCTTATAGTGAACAGCTGGAAATTTTATGTATTGTTCTTTGTATTATTAACTAGGCCTGTAATGTACAAATTAATAATTAAACAATGCATTTAACTACTTTTATTGTTTTTATGGCATTTAAGGCATTTTATTTTTATGTCTGATTAGCACACATACAGTATAATATCACTGTCTACCTTAGGTATTTTGTTAATATACATCTACACTGACTTACCGAATTCTCCAAAATGACAATTTGCTACTTATGGCAGCATATTTGAACTTGTTGCATCAGGCCAGTGGTAAAAAGTATTTACTCAAGGACTGTACTTATTGTAAGTACAGTTTTCAGTACTTGCACTTGTTTCATTTCTCTGATACTTTATACTTTACTTACTATACTTTATACAGTCTGGGCCTTTGGGGCTAACGAGGCCACTGCTGATATTCCTGCTTCTTTTATGCTTCTTCCTCCCTTGTCTGTTGAGCTTGGGTTAAAGACATCACAACTTGATAATTACCATTTACTGAAATGTATGTTTGTTTTAACCATTTCTTTAAAGACATCACAACTTGAAATGTATGTTTGTTTTAACCATTTCAAGTTCTGGACAGACATACAAGTACCACCACAACCAGTGTGTTGTTCAGTGTGAAGTCATTTCATTGCATTTGTTTGCTTACTGGAATCCTAGAAGTACACTATCATAATGATTAAAAAACAAACTACAGTAGCACTGTTTGATGGATCTGGGGTATCTTTTTATGTTTTAGTTGTTCAGCTGTTTGAGTTCAACTCTCATGTGGGCCCGATCTGTTTTTGCTGGCACTTCATTGTGAACAAGACATTAGTGAACCTATTAGCATTATAAACTCTCATTGTCCCTGTCAGTTGTGCTGATGTGGTCTTGTTCCAGCTCTTTGCTTGTGATGAGTACAGATGGACAGAGCTTGTTCTCGCTGGACAGGGGGAATCATAGCTCACAGTTAGGCCCCCTATACACTACAGTCACACCTCATTGACCACTATTACAGCAAAGGAAACCAAATCATTTTGGAGGGAGGGACACAGAGGACCTCTTCTCAGTTTGCCCTCTTTCATCATGATTCAAAGTCATCACCCTCTACAGGAATGAGAAATGATTTGAGTAATCTACAATATATTCTGTTTTGCATTTTTAGTAGTTGCCTTGGTTGCAATAGTATATGGAAGACAGAAGTAGTAGATAATGTATTTATTTTTATAATAATCAAAGTGGCTAAGGTGGCAGCAAAAGAAGCTGATTTATACACTGTCTTGTAATCAGAGACAAGATGAAGTGAAAGCAAATATTTCAGGCAAGAAGCCAAACAACTACTGACATTTTTATAGATTGCTGTTGGGGTGTATAAGCATGAAGTAGTGGCATGTGTGAAAGTGATTCAAATATTTAATTCTGTCCCCATCAATGACAACACTACACACACTACACACACTGTTACCGTCTGTTTAAAACTTCTATAACCACCCATTTTCGCTGAGAGGCACAACAACATTTATCCATCTTTTTATAGCTGCAACACATCTGCACTGTGACATTAATAGCTTGATCCATTTCTGTAGAATGTGCAGCCTCCCTCAAGCAACCAAAGACACAACCAGGCCACTGTGGTCGATATATTCTTCTCTATAACCCTCTGTCCTCCAACGTGTTTGATGTTGTGTCGCTCAAAGTCAGTTGGCAGCCTCTCTGCATTGTTTGATGATTGGCCGGGAGCTAAGTGGCGGTGACGGATTGCGATGTTGATGTATTTACCTCGTCTGTGCTGACAGGAGGCTGTTCCTGTGTCCTGACTGCCTGGGTCTCATCACAAGAGCCGGTGTTGCTTTGTTTAATCTGGACAAGTTGGGGGGGTTGTTGCTTACTCACTCAATGAGACGTCCATGAAGATGTGCAGAAGACCTTCCCTAATCTTGGCTGACATTGGTGGCTTGGCAAGCAGAGCAGCACACTGTTGCACTGCAAATGGCCGGACATGAAGCTACACATCCTCTGGGATGAAGCTTGCTGCCCTAACATCCTAAACACAAGATTTTACATCAGTGCTGATGTATGTAGTAGCTATTATCTTTAAAGTAGTGTATCGATTTTCTCCAAACTTTGTTGAGTTTGAGTTTTCAGATGTCAACATCATAATGCTCAATAAGCCTCAACAGAAAATCCACCCAAAAAAGAAACATTTTCAATTTTGTTATTCCAATCATTCTACAGCAAAAAAAAAAAAGATAAAAACAGTTTCTCAAGGACAAATGAGGTGCAATATACAGTATCTTGAATGGAGGGATTCATTAGATGTCTCTTTTCACAGTATTTACTTTCCATGTAGCAGCTCTAGGATTTGTTTTCAGAGGACATCACTGCTGTCTGTCTGTGCTTTTCAACTCAAGATGAAACTTTAAATGAGATTGTATGGTCTATTTCCCTTTAACTGCTGGTAAGAGTCTGAAAGTATAGCTATAGGCTACAAAGTATTACACCAACATCTACATATCCTGTAATGTAGATTTAAAGGGGTCAAAATTAAGTTAAAAAAAAACAATCTTGTGCTCTTGCATTGTTCACTGATGTCAAAGGGATCCCCAACAAGAACAGTTTGTATTTGTAAGTACTGAACTGATTAAACCATGTTAAGGAACCTTATTTTAAACTTCATGTTTTACAACTCTAGTAGCATAAAAAGAAGTATATAAAACCTTTCTTTCAGATTAGGCTCATTAGGTCAAAATCACATCACGTAAGGATACAACTTTATTTTCAGGTCTTCATGGAAAATTTTGGGAAGACCTGCACTTGAACCGTTAGATACCAAACACACTCATACAGACACACACACACACACACACACACTTGAGAGGGTCTTGTCAGCTAACCCCCTCTAGTGCTGAGCATCCTGTACAGATACGCACACTCTTCCACTGGAGCCGCCGCTTCAGCTGCTCCTCCACTGCATCCAGATCATTGCTCTGTTTGTGCCCATCTCGTTACTGCAGCTGACCGGGCAGCACACAGGAGGCTAACAGTCCGCGGCACATCGCCGTGCCAACAACAGGATTTGTCAAGACTGTCACGACTCTGTGCGCCACGGAGACGCACCAGGTTTAAAGGGCGTTTTAATGTGTCTTGAAACAATGTAGTAACGGTGACTGAAGTCCATGGGAAAGCCTCAAAGTTGTTAGGAGCTAAGTGTTCCGTATCTTATTTGGAAATTTGATCTCACTTTAGACTGTCCAGATTCTCTTCGTTCCGAGCCTCTGCCTCCAGGTAGCCTAAAGGATGGATCGCTTGTTTCGTTACCCGGCAGCTCTCTCTAACCGGGACCAAATGTAAGGACCAGGACCAGTGGATCGGTGCCTGTAGCGGATCCGACCGCGCTTTTTCTCTGACTACGTTACCTCCAGGTTAGAAGTACCTCAGACAAAGCCGGTGATAGATGTTGCAGCAGACATGAGTTTGGGAAACCGATTTGTCCTCCTTCCACTCTTTCTTGGAATTGTCCTCAGACGCTTCAGCCACTGCAACCAAGGTGAGTCCCATGCATAGCGCGTTACGAACCACTCAGAACATGAGTTTGTACTTCTGGCCATTTATTTATTTTGTTCTTGCGGTGCTTTTCCACTATCCCTCATCATTTCAAACATTTTCACTGTGGACACCGTTTCGGATACGGCGCTGCAATTCCTGTAGAAGTCAGTAAAGTAACCTGACCGGACACATGCAGGATAAGCAGCGTACCAGTAAACTGACCTGAGCAGATGATCACTGCGCAAAGGTCGTAAGATGCTAACATCCGTGCATGTAGTGCACTAAAAGTGAAGATCTCAGTTTTGCCTCTATAGAAGTTTTCTTCAGTGAAAAGGGTGGCACAGGATATGGAGGAATTCTACTTAGAACACAAATTTTAAATGGTGCATATAACTCTAGTTTCATGTCAATACTTATATTACTCTTAATATTCTCTGAATAAACAGTCTGTTTGCACAAAATGCACCTTAACCCAGATTCAGGTTTAAAGTTTACTCTAGCAGAGTTCAGTTGATTGCAGGAGCCCTTTTTCTTTTTCTTTTTTTTCTTAATCCAAACTGTGAATCAGATAATAAAATGAAAAACACTTTTTATGGAAATCGGCTGCTGAAATGACAAGCCTGAGGCTGCTTTAATTACAAGTTTTACATTACACACACACACACACACACAGAGGCACAAACAGTAGATTGTGGAGCCGCCAAAGATTGAATCATTAAGTGGGTGACACAGTGAGAATGTCAGTGCTTCTGTGGAGGGTATGTGAGTGAGGCTGTTTTGTGCTATGTTGCAGAACATTTTAAACACACATACTGAAAGGTTCTGAGGTGGCAAAGATGAATTTATTCAGTGACAGTATTTGCATGTACATGTGAAAATGTGCTCGGCATTGACACATTTTGTGTTGTGTGCTTCTGTGACTTTATGTCTAGAAGGGTACTGTGTGAAACGACACATGTGACTGTGGGCAACACTTTTGTGTGTATACGTTTCATTTGAATAAGCTTGAAGTTGTGAGAATGGTCTCACGCTTTTGTGTGTGTGCTCCTTTGTGGCCGCACATGCACACGCAGTGACACACGGCTGCAGCATCGGTGAGGTTGAAAATGGTCTTATTGATTGTGTGAGGACACAGTGGGACCTGCCCCCCAGGTTATATTTTATTGTTCTCTCTGTTCAATAAGAGTGATGCTACTCCCTGTTCTCCTAGACAGCAGCTACATAACAGCCTCACTCTGTGTTTTTCTCTGCCACAGACTGAATGATTGAACTGATGTCTGCTTTCTATTGTACTTTAGTTTCTCATATTGACTTGTCTGGGACCCAGGCAGCACAATTGCAGTTGTTGTGTACCAGAGATCTGTACAGCTCAGTGTTAATCCTGATAATATGTCAGATGACAAAGAATAGTGTCTCGTTAGGTGCCGAGGCGTAATGTTTCTCACCTTGCCACATCACACTATTCTCAATATCTTGTTAAATGAACTGGATTCCTGTGGCTCGGGGGAGTTCACAGGTTTGATTTTTAGGAACAATTTAATCTTATGTTTGCATGGTGATAGAAAATACTCTAAATTTCACTTGGGCATAAACCGAAGTGTCTGGCTCACTTGGTGTGGCAGCCTTTCAGCAGGTGCTCAGTTACTGTATACACCTTGTTATATAGGTATAGGCTGGGGACAAAATTCAACACCGTTACATGGGGAGTTTTAGTGTGGTTCAGTGCTTTGGAACACACAGATGCGAACTCCACAAAGCCCGGGGATTTCACAGAGAAAATTGGGCAAGATGTCAGTTGTTAGGAGTACAATAAAAACCAGTCACCTTTTGCTTCTCACCTGTCTCACAGCAACATATCCCCTCACATCAAACCATCTGGGATTGCAGACACTTATTAGCAAAGCTGTAGTCACTCACTGCCAAGTTTGAACAAGCCCATCTTCCCCATCAATAGCGCCCTTCCCGTAATCTTTACTTGCATTTTTTTCCATCTCCCTTGTGAAGTCAGCAGGAGCAATATTTATTATAATGAACATTCACTAATCTCATGTATTTACCTGATTTCTTGGGCCCTTATAGAATTTTCCTGAGCAGACATTTGCTTAGACTCTGAATATCAGAAGATTGTTTTTGTTCCAGATTGGTTTTTCTGACATAGAGATTCCGGCATGAAAGATCAAGAAAGCAATCCGTCCTAGGAAAATGGATGGGTCAAATAAAAGCACCACATGTAATTTTGTTTTCTTTTTTTGGTCAAATGCATTTGACTGAGACACAGCCAGGTCTTTGAAAGTCAGTCAGCCGACACATGGCAGTGTTGGCTGAGCTGCTTACACTTACTTAGGGCAAGACTCAAACTGACCTAGCTATGAAATCAAAATGAAAATAATAACTCTACTCTTTACGTTGATTTGTGCGGACGGCTGATCACAGTTTCTGCTCTCACTGGTGCCACCCGCAGAGCACTGATATCGCCATCACTGCTGTAGATGAAGGAGATAGTCACCACTAGTGTGTTGTCAACGAAAACCAACCAACCAACCAGAGCAAGTATTAACTCAGCACCCACTCTGAACGTTTGTGTGCCATGTGCATGTGAATGTTTATTCCACAAGAGAAAGAACAGAATGTATATTTAAAATAAGTTGAAACCACTGCTCCGATATTAGTCTTAACATTCAAGATGTATTTCCTCCTGAGTATTCGTTCATATACTATCTACATAGCTGTACACGTACATGAAGCTAAGGTTTCTCAGTTTCCACCATATTAAAGCTGAGTGAAGCAGATACTGCTACATGTACTGTAATAAAGGTTCTTTCCACAAAGGTCCCCTGACTGAAATGACTCCAAGCTGGAGACTGTTAATTTTGCCTGGGCATTCCTATATTAAGCTAATGATTGTTGAGTTGTACTGTTATGTGAGTTTTATGGCCACCTGGTGAGCAAGATCTACTTCATATTTTACTCTTGGGTAAAATATGTCTTTTCTTTTCTTTTCTTTTCTTGTTTATTTGACAGGGTCAACGCACAATACGTTTATTGTGCCAGATATAGATAAAAGTTCTTTTTCGTCTGCAGTCTCAGGGCAACGGCCACCAAAAATGTGCAGGTCATGAATGGTCAGGCCCCAGTGAATGCTGTTTAATTTTAAAATGGCATTTATATGAATTAGCTTTGGTATTAAATGGACCATGATGCTAGTATACAAAACATCAGACTAGTGTTATAGAAGTACTGCCTGTGAAAGTTAAGTGTTTTATTAAACGGAGAAAAATATGGGTCATTTAAAGCTTATCTCATAGATCACCACTGTTGAACAGTTCTAGCTTCTCCCTAATCAGCATGCAGGTGTTTTGCCCTTGAAAGCTAAATACAAACAACTGACTGACTGACTGAGTTTTGGCTGGAACTGCAAAATACCAGGCCTTGCAGCAGCACCAGCACTTGATCCAAGACTGGAATGTATGTTCATCTCTTATTGGCATGCTTTCCTTTCACTTATCTGTCCTTTACAAATGCTCACAGTTGTATCAGATCCAATCGCAGGCGTTCAAAGATTTGCTTTGCTGCCATTTATCGTGTTGTTGAATGTTTGATCGTGGTGGAGTATGGAGACGTGCAGAAAATCCTGTCATGCCTGTCAGGTTGCATCTGCTATGGATAGTTTCCCATTTCACAGCATATCACTCTTTCATCTGCTGAGATCGTAGCACTTTGTTTACACCACTAAATGACAATGTGCAGCCCTCACTGATATACTCACCAAAATCAATTTTTCTCAAGTCTTTGTTCATCAAATGCTCTTGTTTGTCTTTTAACAAGACTTGTTGTTTACCAGAATGGGTATGCAGAGAACTTGAATAATAAGGTTTAGTTTTTGTTTAGAAAGGCTTGCTTGGCTTTTTTAAAATTTTTATTTAAGTGCAGTTGTCTTTGGGAGGAAAATCATTAATCCTTTAACACAGCAGAAACTAGTGAGTTGCTATAAACAACTTAGTTAGAAAACAGTTTTATTGTCACGCTAAACTCTAAGTCTCCACACTGAACCTTTATGGCACTGTTGAAATATACTGTATATAATGTACCACATCAGCTACAGTGATGGATGTATTCTCAATTCATGGCACAAATCACATGATATTTTAATTCAGGACAGTCCTACTGTAAATAGACCCATTACCCTAAAAAAAAAACAGTTTATGTAGGTTTACATGCTATACTTGAACCAGGCAGCGACCCCTCTTTGACTCCTCTCTGAATACTCACACTGCTCCAAATTTAAATTTACATGAAGTAACTGACTACTTTTGGCTCTGTTGTTAGGACTGTAGTTATTTTGGGGTGTTTGTGTGGCCTGCGAGGGCGGTAGACCAGACAGGAGATGGCATCATTCTACTGGATCGCCACATATTTATGAGTTAGCCAGCTCATGTTCTATTTATATCTAACTAGTGGAAGTCCCAGAGGATGCTCAGCTTCAGGCAGAGTCTGTGGGTGCCTCGCTGACAGACTCTGTGGAAGGATGGAGAGAATGGATGGACCTGCATCTTGCGTAGGCAGTTTTAGTTTACACTGGTATGTACGCCGTTCAGTGGATATAGATCTAAACACAAGGACAAGCGCACACATTCAAACATACACACTACTGTTATCTAGAAACCATATAATTACATTTTGTAAAAAAAAAACAAACTTGAATCTGTAATGTTTTTAAATGAGCAGTTAATATAACCAACTCTGCCGTGAAGTATTACAACACAAAAGCATGGTTGAGGGTTCTTTCTGTGCTCTGCTGCTGTCAGGTCACACCTGTGTCAGCACACTAGAGGCATCTTTCGTCCTTTACACAAATCCAGCACACCGGCTCTTATGATGTCTGAAATGCGAGGTTCTATTCTCTGCTGGATACCTCCACACTGCCAGTTAATAGACGTCAGCTGTTCGTCATTTATGGCAAAGAGAGGTGTGAAATTGCTTGCTGCAGTAAGTGACGCAGTGAACTCTCTGTAATTAGGCTGTTCTCCAGGGACTGTGCTGCTTACCCACCCACAATAGCCTAATGTTGTCCATTAACACCAGTGGTATTGCCAGCTACTCCTTCAGCCTGGCACTGACGCCACGGACCTGGCATCCGGTGGACAGAAAAAACTCACACACCAGTGTTGGAAGTTATCCAAAAGCGGTCAACATGGAGGAAATAATAAACAAGGCTAACAGAGTGAAGAGGATGGGATTGGATGATGAAAGGATCAGCATGACGCCTTCGCTTGCTGTTCTGGAGAGAATGGTCAATCAATAGAATAATCAACTACATTTTCAGATAAGTCCATGTCCATTTTCTACATATTTAACTTGGGCGCATATAACACAACAGGAGTCACTACATGTTTCACTATTTTTTGATTTAGATAGCCCAGTTTCTTACAAGTCATTACCATGAAATATTATCTGGTGCTCATGATTTCAAATGTTCTCAACAAAAACTAGGAGGAGGAAAATGCTTTTTGCCGGTCCTGTTGTTTGATGGTAGGTGGTGAAATGTTAGCTCCCAAAAGTAAGGGTTCACAGGCAATTGATTTATTTATGATCCTCTAAACTCACTTGGAAATGAAGTGAATGGGTCAGTTGAATGGCTTTCTTTGTGTTTATATGTGGAGGTTTTTTTTCTTTTATGTTCCTAAAAGCTCTAAATGTAACCGCTTCTTGGAGAAAATGCATTCTGAGAATGTATTAAGTTAGACTCAGTAAATGTGATGACATTAATCAGAAACCTGATGATAAAAAAAGAGTCTGTACTTCTAAGTGGATGGCTGATACATGAAGCAGAGGACTTTCCCTCAGTTCCAGTGTATAACGCATCTTTCTCACCTGCTGTAAGTATGTTTTGTTCCTAAACATAACCAAATGGTTTGGTGACAAAATGTAATGAAACTGTGACAGTTTCATAATCATAACAGCGTCTTTCTGACACTTTCCATAACAATGGACAGTTCGGTTATGCTTGCTGGTGTGTTTAGGGCTGATTCTATGACAAAGAAAGTCTGTACAGCTGGGCCATGTTGTTGCTAATGATGGCAGAGTTCTTGCAATTCCAGCCGCCAACTTAGGGGCGCTGTTTCAGGAGACAAACGACCTCATGGGTCGCCTAGGTTAAAGTTGTTGACAAAAATAGATGTGTTGATCAGAATGTTGCTCAGTTGAAACAATAGTTACTTTCCCTTTTTGTTCTCTGTTTGCTCGGGGAGTTGACCAATTTCCCCCCTTCAGTCATATACAGACTGTCACTTTGAAATCCTCTTTTTGTTTTTTTTTAATTCAAGAAGTGCACACCGTTTTAGAATACATTCCAACACACAATTATTTATTTATTTTTTGAGAGGCAATCGGTGCAGGATTCAAACATTGTATATGTAGTAAAATGAGGTTTTAACATTTGAAGTTTCCAGTTTAGTCAGTTTGTACACATGTCAAAGGAGTCTTTCATAGTAATGGATTCAGAATTATCACCTGAGTTTGCACATCCACTCAGGTCTTCAGAGAGTTTTACCATCTTTCTACTCATTACTTTGGCAATTTCACTGTTTTGATTCTCATTAACCCATTTCCAGCAGCTGCAAAGAGAGGTTTTAAGCAAAAAACCTTTGATAAACTCATTGTTTGACAACCTAGTGAGTGGAGACAGTGGAGCACTTAGCAGCTAGAGCACTTGATTTTTCCTTCAGGAGCTTGTGGAGAACAAAAAAAACCACGCTACAAGGGAGTGAATGTTTCATTCATTGGCTAGCCAGAAGCACGTTTCCATATGAAAGCTACTGTTACTCTGTGTGGATCTGTAAAAAGGCAATAGTTTGCTAAGAAGCTCACCCATTTAAAAATGTGATAATATTGTCACTGTGGTGTTTATCACTTGTTCCTCTGCCCCAAACTGGAACAAGCAATATTTTTTTTAAATTACTGGTGCTTTAAAATATTTATTAATTTGGATATTTTCTGTGTCTCTTAAGAGCATGACAGCATATCAGTTGCCTTATAGGCATAAGAAATCCTGAGTGCACTATAGCACAACTCTGTTTCCCAAATGCAATACAGATGCAGTATGGCAGCAGTATATCAGTCTTAAGATGTTGTTTGTCATCTATACACAGGTTACTTTACCATCTTGACTGATTTTGAGGGATATTCTGTACATTGTCTGGCAGTTGGAAGATATTTGTCGCAGAGCACCTCACTAATACAGATAATGTTCCTAAAGACACAAAGTAACTGAATAACAATTTTTTTGTTTTTGTTTACGTTTGTACTTTTTCTTCTGTACAACTGTGCCAGATCTGCAAGCATCAGCTTGTATTTTGTGTCTGTGTTTTATGTGATGACTCTGACAACACTGAGGGCGCCCCATCCTGAATGGTTTGCTTAACTCTTGGATGTTGTGATTTGTCTGTTTGGCTTGATCCAAAACAGGTGTTACATTCTATCTCTGCAGTGTCTCCTACACTGGTTCTCTGGGAGATTAGGCAAGCCGAGGAGCATTTTGTTGTGTATGACATGCACACACACAATGAAAACCTCAGTGAGCAGATACTTGGGCAATCTCTGTCAGTCAAGCTCCATCAGAGGTGTACTGGCTCATAACTGCAAAACAGACAGATTTGAAAATGTCCCCTCTTCCTTTCTGCTTGCTTTAATCTTGTCAGGCTACATTCAGAGATATAAATATCACTTACCTTTTGCTTTGACGTTGTAAATTATATCTCAGCAATGAAACTACTCCATTTGATGATAATTTCCTTGTAATAACTATATATCCCAGAGCAATGATGTTAATGGAGATTTAAGAAATACTGTCACTGATAGAGATTTGTGTTGGAATAATGAGCAAAACTCTTACGTGGACACTGATGACAGACTAACACTATCATTATCTAAGTAGAAGCTACACAATTATTTGTCAGAAATCAGTGTGATTCTCAGCTTTAAGCCACGAGTTGGTGGCAGCTCAAGGACAAGTGTAAAGATGAACATTTTGGCTACTGATGAGCAAATTTAACAGTAATGACTCATAGTTTGTGAGGGAGCTGATTGGCTTTAAACAGGCCTCTCAAGTCCAGTGTTGGTGGTTTTCTACCAGCAATCACTCTCACCCTGAATACCAATTGGTTCTTACACCTACTTCTTGAAGCAATGAATCTACATGTAATTAGGACATTACTGTCACACATACTGTGCATTTGGCACATTTGACAAGGTGACTGGATGGGCCCAATGTAATATTTATTGTTCTTGACAATGCAGCTGTGCCTATTGTCTATTCCCTAATGTTAACACAAAAACAGTTTTTTTAATTGGTTTTATTTTTGTGGTGTTATTTTAGTATCACACTGAAGGCAAGTTCAGGATCCCATATCTGCTCCTTATCACTGTAAATCACTTTGTGCTTGGTAAGACACTTACCCTATGAATTATTAAATTTACTGTCCTTGAGAGTAAGACAAAATGTTGTCAAGGATGGCAATATTTTCCAAGGAAATTTACACTCACATTTCCAAGTGTAAGGGTAAAGTCAACTGACAATTACCACTATTATGCTGTACCAAGATTAATATAGTACTAAAGTGCAAGCCCTAACTTACCTACATAGAAAACATACCAGAGTCTTATTTAGTATTTGGCATAATAGATACCCAACACACATTTACAAGGGATAAGAATGGTTAAAGACAGATCTATCCTTGAGATTTACCCTTGTATCTCATGAATGGTCTGTGAAATTGAAGTAAAGCTGTGGGTGGAAGTGAAGAAGGGCAACAGCGTGGACTGTTGACAGCAATCTGACTGCAATCCATCAGTCCCCAAATTGTGTAGCATGTGGCCAAAATGTTGCTGCTATACTCATAAATATTCATCCAACAAACTTTTTTGCTAATATAAGAAACATCAACATGTTTGTGACAGGTATGTCATTTTCCATATTCATTCATTCATTTTCTACCGCTTAGTCCCTGAATGGGATCACAGGGGGAGCCAGAGCCAATCCCGGCCGGCAATCAGGCGAAGGCGGGGTACACCCTGGACAGGTCGCCAATACATCGCAGGGCTAACACATAGATGAACAACCACACACACTCCTATGCGCAATTTAGAGACACCAATCAACCTAAGCTGCATGTCTTTGGACTGTGGGAAGAAGCTGGAGTACCCGGAGAGAACCCACTCAAGCACGGGGAGAACATGCAAACTCCACACAGAAAGGTCCCGGGTGGGGCCCGAACCCAGAACCTTCTCGCTGTGAGGCAACGGTGCTAACCACTGCGCTGCCCCATTTTTTTCATATTGAAAATAGGATTTTTTTGTTTCTTGGTACACTAATGGTTGGATGTTCCCCCTCCCCTTTTTCCATTTCAGTTGTGTTGCTGGATACGACATCTGTGCTTGGAGAACTTGGATGGAAGACGTATCCAATAAATGGGGTAAGAAGGACAACTCTACACCCAATTATTGCATTTGGTCTTACTGTCTTATTCATCTAGTTCAAAATGCAGGGCCATTGCTGCATCAGTGAGATGAAATGTATTGATGTTAACAGGTCATAGTGAGCTGTTTCATATTCATCTTGGTTTTTGCTCAGATCCCTTTGTACATGTGGGAAATGGTGTAATTTGGAGAAAGATAATGAGCCAAGGTCTCAGAGGAAACTCCCTTTATGTTGTTCAATCTTCATCTACCAGTTGCTGTCATGGTTGTCACTTCAAGGCCATAGAGATATTTTACATTCTTCAAATGTTAGCCAAAAGAACACATACAAATCAGTCCAGGCCATGCTTACAAAACTAACTGACATTTCCTGTCAATATTTTGACTATATTTTCTGCATATTACTTTTACATTTTTAATATGGCAAGACCACCACCTTAATTAGCCATAATCAAACTCAAGTCTAAAACAGAAATTCCATTCCTCCAGTTCCTCATCTTCAGAAGAGCACAGAAAAGCTTTTTTTAAATATATGGCATGCATCTGTCTTGATTTCATTACCTCTTGCTTTTCAGCTAAAAGAAGTACTCAAATTCTTTGCTTAAGTGATGGTAGAAATACCAGTGTAAAAATATAGTGTTACAAGTAAAATAACTTGAAGAAAAGTGTTGCTTAAGTAAAAGTATTGGCATCAAAATATACAATATACTTAAAGTACCAAAAGCTGTTGGTCTTATGCAGAATGACACATTCTATTATTTCACATGTGCAATATATCACATTACTGGCTTTTAATTACTGATGCATTATTATGTTCATCAGTTTAATGTTGCTGCTGGTAAAGGTGGAGCTAATTTAAACTACTTTATATGCTTATTTTTTTTGCTATCCAAAAAAGGGTGTTTCTGTTTTGTCCTGCAGTAAGTGCATCTAGCTTTGCAGCATCATCTTATCCAGCTGAAAATCTGAACTTTGGGATCAGCAGTGAGTGTCAAACTGAAAATATATAGGCATCAGAAAATATAGATCTGACAACAAACTGTAGCATCCTTAGATCAAAACCTTCATATTATGATCACAGTGCTGCAAGAACACCTGATTGAAAATGTAGGCAGTAACCAACAAAAGCACACCTGGCTGACTTCCACTTCTTTGTTCACATGCACCATGCCAGTCTTGCCCCTATACAGTACCCATTGAAGCGCAACACACTGGCAATTCAAGATGGAGACTTGTTATAGAAAACAGACCGTGCTCTTATCTACTCCGACACAATATAATGGTTACCCGTCAGTGGATGAGGTGTTTAACATTCTTTTATGTAGCGTCTTTCAAAATGTCAAGTAAAAAGTGCTTTACTTAATGAGGTAACTGCCTGTGGTTGCAATCTGTATCTGTGCCATACCTAATCAGTTGTGATCTTTCATGGCGGTACCGTTTTTTTTGTCTTGACATAACACAGATAGCATATTATGTAACTGAACATCAAATTTTCACGTGATGTGATATCATTATTGATAGCTAAATAATTACAATCAAGAACACCATTTATGTCATCTCACATTATGGTAATAATCAAATTATCATGGAAAAAGTTAAACAAAAAGTGGTCTGCGGATAATGAGGATAAAAATAAAAGCAGCCACTGTCTGTAGAGCTGTTAGGAAATTGGAAGCAGACTAATGTATTTAAGTGAGCTGTGGCACTAAATTGTATAAGTAGAATTTTTTTTTTTTTTTTTTGAGCTATGCAGTGGCTCCACATCCTCCGCTATCCTTTCACCGTGGGTTTTGACTTTAAAGGGTCTTTTGCTGGCAGATATGGGTCCCAAAGGTCCCTGCCCCCCTTCTCTGTGTCTCTATCTCTCCCTGCAAAGCCCTCTGTGGGCCATATCGGGGTTATAGAGGTGATTACATCATGTAGGTCACGGTGACAGCCACCCACAGCGTTGAGGAAGAGGAGAGAGGGCAGCTGCTGCCTCCATGATTAAGCTGTCAACCCTCTCTCCTCCTCACTCATCCACTATCCTCCGATTTAGCATTAATATTTAAGGCATTGAGGTGAGAGGGCCTGAGGGAAGGTATGAAGATCTGGGGAGGTAAAATAGTTTAAATCCGCCTTACTACCTAATGTAGGAGCCAGCAGGAGGAAGTCGGTCTTCACCATATTAGACATAGCCTGGTATCAGACTGATACAGCAGCACACCATGTAGCTGCCTATCAGAGTCACACACTGGTTCTAGTTCTGGATATAAACTGCTGTGCCCAGTGCTTATTAAAAAAAAGAATATGCAGTACAGTAACTGCTCCAACATGATTTCATCATGATGAGGTTGCAAGGAATATACAGTAGCTGGTTGTCAGATAGGAAATTGAGGGTGAAGTGAAAATTGAGGTGTGTATTTATGGATGGGATTTATCAAAAGCCAGTAAACAACTCTTGTAGCAAGAGGAATTTGAGTAGTAGTGTAGAAACGGAAGGTTAACCACAAGTACAATATGGTGGTCTGCCAGCATTACAACACTGTGACAGGACACCAGATGTAGTTGATACTGAAAAACCTAACTGGGGGGGGGGGACCTACAAGGTTAAAGTTTATGCACAACAGGCATCGGCGATGATAATATTCTTGGGAAGTATAAGTACTGCTGAATCTATGACTGAGAGAAGAAGTGAGATTATATATTTGCAGTGTTCCTGTTCCTACTGTATTTATACCACTTTCTCAATAAGTAAGCCTCTTAAGGTTTAGGCAACAAAAGCA